GAGAAAGTGAACGTTGATTCAAAGTTCACCTCTTTAACGACGAGTCTGTCAGAGCTTCTCAAGGAGGCTTCACAGGCCTACGAAGAGTACCACGAGGCGGTGCATAAGGCAAAGGACGAGCAAGCGGCTGAGGAATTTGCGGTGGAGACGACAAAGAGAGCAGAACATATTTGGGTTGAGTTTCTTAGTTCACTTAATTGAACTAATGAAATTCTTGATTGTGGTTAAAGCACATGTTCAATTAGTTGTGGTTCTTGTTTTTTATTTTCTTGTGTTGTTTTGTTTGAGACTTTGTTTGTTGCTTATATCAGGGGAGAGAGGTTGAAAAACCTTTGAGAGATAGATAAATGAGAGATTTGTGAACACAAAATAATGTTTTAGTCGTCTTATAATAAAACTTTTTTTTTTAATTCTCATTGATCATACTGCAAAATATGTGTGAAATAGAATGATGAAATCAGCCAAAAAGAAAATAACAGAAAAACTATAGAATATTGAGAGTAATTGAAATTTATTTAGTAAGTAAATCACATTAGTCCATCTACCATTCTCCTGATAAACTCAATTGAGACGTCAAAAAGGACGTTGTAACCACTTCAATTAATTATTTTGTCGGCTAATAATTTTTGTTTTTTTTAAAAATAATTTCAAGAGATTATAATTTAAGTAATATTTGATTGAGGAAACGTTCTATAATGTAGCTTCAACAAACATAGTTTTATTTTTCAAATTTATATTATGTTGACAGTTACAATTCATACAACTCCACAAAAATAATGAAAACAGGTTGAAAAAGAAAATAGTAATGAAAAGTTGAATACAAAGTAGACCACACGAGTCGCTAACACGTGTGAACCATCTCTTACTCGGAAAAGCAAACAGCGATTATTAAACTAATTTTGACGTCAGCAAAACAAGGATTAATAAAAAAAACCAACAATTGGAAGGAAAAAAAATCAATAAATGGAAAGAATCGAACAAATTAGAATCAGCCACTTCTCTGCTCTCTGACTCCGTTAACTCCGACTCTCCGAGCACTCTCTCTCTCTTTCTTTCTTTCTCTTTCTCCATCGCCGCGATTCTGCTCAGCTCTTGGAACGGCGCAAGCTTAGATTACCGGAGAAAACTGTATGCAATGTAATGTCTTCTTCTTCTTTTTTTCCTTTTCTTTCTAATTCGTCTTCGTCTGCTTCTGCTGCAAGCTTGTGTTGTTACTCATCTCTCTGCATCGACGATTTTTCTTCTAGTTTTGTTGAAGAACATTGACTTTAGGTTTTCTTTAGATCGTCGTCTTAATCTGATTTTGCGTTGCTTTGATTTTTGTACTTTGGAGCAGCTTCAACATTGGCGCATCGGCGATCCAAGTCGGAAGTTCACTTACCTTCGGAAAACGCGAGTCTGATCTATCGGAAACAGTAAGATACTCGCTAAGATCTTGATCTTGATAGCGACATTGATTTCTCTCTCGCGCCTTTTTATTTTCCATAACCGACCAACTTTCTTTATTTCGTCAACGCGATTTCATATCACCAAATTGGAATTCAAAATCCTTGTGATTGGAGCAGTTAGAGAGTTTCTCCAGATTTTAGCTACGAGGAAACATTTATTTGATTTCTCTTCCTAAATTGCAGTTTCATTGTGAGCTGAGAATTCATGGAATGAAGTGATGGAGTTTGTCTAATTGCTAGTGGTTTTGTGGCTTATTGATGTCTGGGGAATAGGATATTGAGGATGCTATTGTAGTAAAGAAAAACTATGGATGATCTTCGGCTATCACCGCTGAAATTAGGTAGCTTTAAGTCTTCATTGTCAGGGAGGTCTACTCCAAGGGGTTCACCTACATCGAGGAGAGTGCATTCAGGCAGGACTCCACGGAGAGACGGCAAAGGTAGTGGTGGAGCTGTTCAGTGGTTCAGAAGTAACCGTCTGCTTTATTGGTTACTGTTGATTACTCTTTGGACATATCTTGGATTCTATGTTCAGTCCAGATGGGCTCATGATGATGATAACAAAGTTGAGTTCTTACGGTTTGGAGGAAAACTGAGAGAAGATGTTTTGCACGTGGAGCAGAATAAACGACTTGATTCAGTTGCTAATGAGAATTCTCATTCTGTAGTAGATACTACCAATATAGTACATATAGGTGTAAATAAGAGGATGCATGTAACTCTGGCCAAGAAAGAGGATGACACATCTCAAAGAAGCTTGAGTTCCAGGAGGAGGATCAGAAAAGCTAGTCGTAGTTCACGTACTAGGATTCGTAGTAAGCAGAAGGTGAGAAAAGTGATGGAGACTAAGGACTTGGATGAGCAAGATCAAGAACTTCCAAACACAAATGTTACCTACGGTAAGATTTTTGGTCCTTTTGGATCACTGGAGGATAGAGTTCTTGAATGGAGTCCGCAAAAGCGATCAGGGACCTGTGACAGGAAATCAGACTTCAAACGTCTTGTTTGGTCTAGGAGATTCGTCCTACTTTTCCATGAACTATCAATGACTGGTGCTCCAATTTCAATGATGGAGTTGGCTTCCGAGCTTTTGAGCTGTGGTGCAACAGTATATGCAGTAGTCCTGAGCAGAAGGGGTGGATTATTGCAAGAGCTCACAAGGAGAAGGATCAAAGTGGTTGAAGACAAAGGAGAACTCAGCTTCAAAACTGCCATGAAAGCAGATCTTGTCATTGCAGGATCAGCAGTGTGTGCTTCATGGATAGGTAAGGAAACTAGATCTGCTGATTCTTTGACATCACTATTTGCATGAGCACATATTGACTATCATGTTTATAAATGCGTACCATAGATCATTCCTCCTCAGCTATATTCTGGAAGATACAATTTATAAAAGAAGTTGTCATATATAGCACGCTCACTTCAGATTGTTTATTAGAGCAATTTTATATATTCTTCATCAAATCAACAGTTAAACATGTTCGATATTCCTTTTCTGCCTCATGTTTGGATACTCATTATGATATTTGTTACAATCTCCGCAGATCAATACATGGATCACCATCCAGCTGGTGGAAGTCAAATCGCTTGGTGGGTGATGGAGAACCGGCGAGAGTACTTTGATCGAGCGAAACCTGTGCTTGACCGAGTCAAACTGCTAATTTTTCTATCTGAAGTTCAGAGCAAACAATGGTTAACATGGTGTGAAGAGGACCATATAAAGCTTAGGTCTCAGCCGGTTATTGTTCCGCTGTCTGTTAATGATGAGTTAGCTTTTGTTGCTGGGATTTACTCTTCACTAAATACTCCGACACTAACCCAAGAGATGATGAAGGAGAAAAGACAAAAGCTACGTGAATCAGTCAGAACGGAGTTCGGTTTGACAGATAAGGATATGCTTGTGATGTCTCTTAGCAGCATAAACCCAGGAAAGGGACAACTTCTTCTCCTTGAATCTGTCGCCTTGGCACTGGAGAGAGAACAAGAACAAGAGCAAGTAGCTAAAAGTAATCAACAGCCCAAAATCAAGAACCTCAATGGCATCAGGAAAGAAAAGATTAGTCTTTCTGTAAAACATCGTTTAAGAGGTTCATCACGGAAGATGAAAATCACGTCTCCCGCTACTGACAATTCATCAGTTCTTTCTGCCACCGGTAAAAGAAAGCTGTTGTTTTCTGGAAACGTAACACAGAAACAAGACCTTAAACTTCTTCTTGGATCAGTTGGGTCCAAGAGCAACAAAGTTGCATACGTTAAGGAAATGTTGAGCTTCTTGTCAAACAATGGAAACTTATCGAACTCGGTTCTGTGGACTCCAGCGACCACTCGTGTTGCCTCATTATACTCTGCAGCAGATGTCTACGTCACAAACTCCCAGGTAATCTTTCTCGTCTTGATCCTTTTATGGCTGCAGTCAAAAACAAACTATCAATGCTATATGAAGTGTTCTTCAACTTTTGTTTACCCCTCTTCAACCGTGAAACAGGGAATTGGTGAAACATTCGGGAGAGTAACTATTGAAGCAATGGCTTATGGTCTTCCGGTGAGAAACAAACGATAGATAAACCCATGTGTTCTTATTCGGGAGAGACAAAAATGCAATGTTCTCATCCTAATCATTGTTTTTAATGGGAACAGGTACTTGGAACAGATGCTGGAGGAACAAAAGAGATAGTGGAGCACAATGTTACAGGGCTACTTCACCCTGTGGGGAGGGCAGGTAACAAAGTTTTAGCTCAGAATCTCTTGTTTCTTCTTAGAAACCCATCTACAAGGCTACAACTAGGTAGCCAAGGACGTGAAATCGTTGAGAAGATGTACATGAAGCAGCACATGTACAAGAGATTTGTGGATGTTCTAGTCAAATGTATGAGACCCTAAGAGTGTACTTTCATTGTTTACTTTTGGTTCAGGTCTGGTAAGATCGTGTATTCTTCACCCCCAATTCTTATAAAATTACATGTTATTCTTTGGACTTTCGAAATCCTTACTCTCTTTTTATGTTTTTGTTGGAATCTGCATCCTGAGAAGCTTAATTACTTGGCGAATTTTATTACACGTGAAGGCATTAATTGTTCACTGGGTTGATTATTGTATGGGGCAGAGTGAGTTACTAATAGCTTCCCTGTATTATGCAGATCGATTATTTTATACTTAAAGACGATCTCATATCTTCTTACGAATATTTTCAAGTATGAGCAGCTGAGTGGATAGCAGCTTTTAAATTTTATATATATTTGATAATAGGCACATTTGTAGCAAAACATGCGAACAAATTTATTCACTCCACAAACAGAAATTGTCTAATATAGGAAAAAGAAAAGAAAGAGCTCAGACGGCACTTGCTATCGTCACGGATAATCAGGACGACTGTGACGGACCAGGCCGTCACTAAATTTGTTTTATCTTCACTGCTCTTGAAGTCGGTCGAACTCGGGGTCGCACGAACTCGATTTTATCAGCCCGTCCAACCACTAGACGAGAGCGACTTTTTGATTAAAGACTAATTATCAAACTACATATATATGATAACTTCAACTGAGGAAAGCCAAAACGGTTGCTCTAAGAACAGAGAGAGCAAATTTTGTTTTTGATAGAGAAATCGATCGAGAGAGGAGAAGAAGAATCAAGAGAGTGAAAAGGACATGAATCTATACGCGCACGATCTTTCTCTTCTCGATTTCAATTACAACGTCTCCGGTCCCTTCGGCGAGCCGCTATCTCACCGCTTCCTCTCGCCTGGCCCTTTCTTCCATTGTGAGGACGACGATTACCGCCGTTATACCACCAGCTACAGTCACGACGGAGCTAATGGACGAGAAGCAGATACCGATTCAAGAGTATCTCCGCCGCATCGCCACGACGGAAGATCTCCGTTACCTCTGGGGATGGATTGGAGTGCTCCTCCTCGTCATTTGGTATCATTTTCTCCCTACATTATTCAAATTCGTTGATTTGTTAGATTCTGTTTGGAATTTGTTTCTAACTGTAAAATTTGTCCTAGGAAGGACGGAACACGGTTTGGCCACACGATCCTCGAACTGGTTGGAGTTACTGTGTCACTGTCCCTTCTTGGGTTGACCTTCCCAAATCAAGCGTTTCGGATCCTGCCGTGGTGTGTATTATCTTATCTTTTACACATAGCTGATTCTGTTGGTATAGTCAGGTTCTTCTTGGTCTTAAGATTTTTTACTTGTGTCCTTAACAGTTTTATAGAGTGCAAGTGGCGATACAATCTCCTGAGGGATTCACTTCTGCTAGACTGATACTTAGACGATTCAATGATTTCTTGGAGTTATATTCTTCAGTGAGTACTTTTTCCTCAATACCCTATTCTTAGTTCTGGCTTATTACTCATTTCATTTGTTTCGCTTTGATGAACAACTATGAGTTGCGTGGATATGATAATTGGGCTATCGCGTTTTCAGATTAAAAAGGAGTTTGTGAAGAAAAGCTTACCCCAGGCACCACCAAAGAAGATTCTGAGGATGAGAAACCAGACACTTTTGGAAGAGGTAGATATCGATTCTCTCAACTCTTTAGATTTAGTGACAGCAAAAATATTCTCAAAATGTTTAGTTTATTGCAGAGGAGGTGTTCTCTGGAAGATTGGATGAATAGACTTTTGTCAGATATTGATATATCTAGAAGCGCTCTGATAGCAACATTTCTTGAGCTTGAAGCTGCTGTCAGGTCTTGTATGTGCTCTTCTTTTCCTTCTGTGTATTTTCTATTGGTTGTGAAAATAATGCAATATGAAGTGAATTTTTCTGAGCTCTCACTTGATTTTGTAATATTGTCTGAAAACCTAGCATGTATTGCCTATGTACTAATGTGCTTCTTAAATCTTTACTCTCTTCAGATTTTAATGATGAATATCAAGAAACTGAAGATACCTCTGGGGACATTCCGTCACTTCTACCTACCACCAGCTCTGATGTTCCTGGTAGTTCATCAGTTACCGTAGATCATACCAATGATTCTGCTGATGAGACGTCTGATGCCTCAACAGTGAAGCATGACGATGCTAGTCTCAAAAATCTTGTCTCAAGGAATTCAACTTCTGTAGATAATGTGACTGATTGGCATGAGTTGATCTCAGAATATGGACTTCTAGATAAAAGTTTTTTTCAGGAAAAAGTTGAATGTCTTTCTAGTACTAATGGAGATGCAGCAACTGGAGGGGGCATTTCTTGTGGAGTTGGAATTCAGAGGTTGGATGGAAGTGATAGAAAGTTTCAAGAAAAGACCATTGAAAGAAATAAAACTCATGTAAGTGATTTTGAGGCGTCAACTTCTGGGGAACCTGATTTAGTTAACCAAGGCTCGATGGATATTCATGGTGAAGCTCATGGAAACATGTATGGTGCAGTTGGTGGAGATACTGAGACTCTGAAGGATCTTGCTATTGTATTTCAGTCTGAGGAGCGACATAATTTAAAAAGGGTTATTGATACGTTAAAGCAGAGACTGGAAACAGCAAAAGCTGACACGGAAGATCTTATCTCAAGGCTGAATCAGGAGTTAGCTGTTCGACAGTTTTTGTCAACAAAGGTGTGCACAACTATCACATGAGTTTTTACCCCCCTTGTCTTTTTTCCCCCACATTATCTCCAAAGTCTTGTTCTACTTTAAATGATCAGCCATCTTGCTCTCTTTGAATATGTTGCTTTGTATGTTTGGCATTGGTCTCGTAGGTAAGAGATTTAGAGGTTGAACTTGAAACAACTCGAGAGAGCTGCAAGCAAGGCATGGAGAAAACAGTTCTTGATGAAAAGGAAAGATTTACTCAAATTCAGTGGGATATGGAGGAACTCCGCAAGCAATGCATGGAAATGGAATCGTTGTTAAACTCTATAAAGGTTTTTGTTTTTCCTAGTTTTTTGCACTGTAACATTTATTTGCATTCAACTATAGATGTTTTTCTTTATATCTGGCTTATAGGACGAGAAAACAGATATTGAGGCTGCAAGTGAGTCACTTGTTCAAGAAAATCAGATGTTGCTGCAGCAGATCAATGATATAAGAGAAAATTTTGAGAATTTTCATAAAGAACATGAAGAGCTGGAAGTGAAATCGAAAGCAGAGCTGAAAGTCCTCGTCAAAGAGGTCAAGTCTCTCCGAACCACTCAATCAGAATTGAGACAAGAGCTTAGCCGCACAATGAAAGAAAAACTGGAGATGGAGGTAAAATGCTCTTTGCAGGAGATTTATTCAAGAATTCCGTAAATCTTCTTCTAAGAATTGGAGAATCTGGAAGTTTTAACGCTTAAATCTTCTGCAATGTTCAGAGAATTGTTCAACGGGAGAATGATAGAGAAGAAACTGCAAAAAACGCAGACAAGAAGTTGCTGCATGAGTGTGATGTTCTACAAACTCGGCTTCAAGAGTGCAATGTCAAGTTCCACATTGAAGAGGAGAGTAAGTTAATAATGGACTCATCATCTCCATCTGAAGCCATCGAGCTACTAGCAACATCTGATAACCGAATAGGTCTTCTAATTGCTGAGGTAGGTTCCACCAAATTCTCTTTGATACTGAGTTTACGCATGTTGAGACAAAAAGGCTAATGTTTTCTCGAAAACAGACGCAGCTTCTCTCAGAGGAAGTGGAAAAGCTGAAGCTATCATCAGGAGGGCATCGTGGAACAGACGATGTAGTAAGGAAGATGCTGACAGAGGTTCTGATTGATAATGCCAGATTAAGGAAACAGGTTAACTCTGTTCTCCGTTGCTCTTTGTCCGGACATGGAGTATCAGTCAGAGAAGCCGGAACAGAAGAAGAAGTAGAAGAGGAAGAAGGAAGCATTGATCTAGCAAGAACTGTTATGAGCAAGATCCTTGAGAAATGATTTTATCAGGTTTTTCGTGAAACTATGCTAATTACAAATGGTTTTATCTTTTTTAAAAATATTGTAATAAACTTGGACTACCGTCTACCGTCTACCGTCTACCGTAATATCTTCTTACGAATATTAATTTATTATGGGGGAGCGCTTGCGTATGCGTTTGGGGACACGTAAGTTTCAAGAATCGACGCAAAACGTGAGATGTGTTTTAGGTAGGCGTCGTGTCTCTCTTATCCTCTGTTCACGCAAAACGCCAGATTTAGAGAGAGGAGATAGATATGTCAAGTTCTGTCTTCGTTCCCGGTATGGCGATTGGAGTTCCGACGCTTTCTCGTTCGAGCTCTGTTCATCGGAGCTTGGCACCCACGAAGAAGATGACAATGAGTAGTATCAAATTCGTGACCATTTTTCGAAATCCGTCAAGCTCTTCAGGGACAAAACGGTCATTTCGCGTTACGGCTTCCGATGACCGGTCGGAACAAGCAGATAACGGTCAGGGAATTCAGGTCAGTTCTGTGGACTAGAGAGCACACTGTTTTTTTTTTTTTTTTGTAGGGGCTCAAAGAATTGTAAATTATAAAATAGCCACTATATTTCGAATTTGATCCAAAAAAGTCATGATATTTTGACTCAAATGATTCAAAAATACAAATAAGCCCTCTCTTTTTTTTTAAATCCTTCAACAGGAGGACGTAAACTACTTGTTGAAGATCGGAGTTGGATCAGTGGCAGGCGCAGCTATAATCAAATACGGAAGTGTATTGTTCCCACAGATCACAAGACCTAATCTCACTCTAGCCCTCTTCATTATCATCGCTCCTGTTGTAATCTCTGTTATCCTTTTGTTCCTATCATCATCATCTTCCTCCAAGAAACACAACTGATTGGTTAAAAAAATGTGTATTATGTAATTCACCTCATTGTGAAAAGAGCGTGCCAAGGATGAGAAAGTTTCAGTATAATCCAGGATAAAAGTTTCAATCTTTCAATCTTATATGTGCCAATACCACAACTTACAAACTCCAATATCAGTAATGATCAAATCAATATTATAAACCAAGAAACACACCAAAAAAATAAGCAAGACCTCTAAAACCTAATCTGTGAAACGAATTCCTGTTCCTAACCATTCCTATTCTTGTTGTTGTTGATTATCTTTCTCTTTAGAGATCACATCTGAGCTTTCCTCTGCAACCTGCTCTCTATTGTTTTCGTTGCTGCTATATGGATTCTTGAAGAGCGGATTGGCTTCAAGTTCAGACATTTTCTCCTTTGATTCATTCACCAGCATCTCCACCACTTCAGACATTGTTGGTCTTTTTTCTGGATCTGTCTGAGCACACATAAGCCCCACAAAGACTACTTTCTTCAGCTTCTCTTCCACATGCTCCTCGCTCAGCCTCTTATCAACGATTTCACCAAACTTTCTTTCGTAAACAAGTGGTAAACCCCACTCGGTTATACCCCGCGTTGTTGTTGGGTTTAGCCTTTCGAGTGGTCTCTTGCCACTAACCAGTACCAGCAAAAGGATACCGAAACTGTACACATCGCTCGTTTCTGATTCTTTTCCTGATGCAACACATTCTGGTGAGATATATCCATTATTACTTTTGGCTCTGGTAGCTCCATCTCCAGTATCATCTGGCATCAGCTTACCGTATCCAAAATCTGTAACCCGAGCTTCAAATTCAGAATCTAATAACACATTGCTAGCTCTCACATCTCCATGGACTATATGTGGGGTTGCGTGGTTGTGTAGGTAGCTGAGCAAAGAACAAAAGAGTCATAAACTATGACATATTAAACTTTTCATGAAAGGTTTTAGATTCTGAGACTCACGCAATAGCCTGAGCAGAGCTTATGGCGATCTTCATTCGCTTGGTCCAATCTAAAAGGCATTCAGCTGAATGCTGGCCATAAAGATGCGAAACCAAGCTCAAATTCGGCATGTACTCGTACACAAGAAGACGTTCTTGGCCTTCCGCACAGTAGCCACGAACACTCAACAAATTCTTGTGACGAATACGAGCAAGAATCTCGACTTCCACAGCAAAATCAATCTCTTCTCTATTACTCCATGCCTTCAATCTCTTGACTGCAATCTGTAAAAAGACAAAATTATCAACCTCACAAGATCAAGTTTGAACAAGAAGCAAGTCCTAGATAACAAGTTAGATCAAAAGAAAAAAATATTGAGGTCAAATTACTTGTGATCCATCCCATAGCTGACCCCAATAGACACTACCGAATCGACCTTCACCGAGTTTGTTATCGTAATTGAAACTGTTAGTGGCCGCATGAAGTTCCTTCAATGAAAATACCCTCCAAGATGGCTCTTCCTTTTCTTTCTTCTTCCTGTGTAATTGTGACATCAAACCAAAACTTAATCTCAGTACCCTATCATTCATCAACACATTAACAAACAAATAAATTATGAAATGTAGCATAGTTGAATCAATCATCCCTTGCAAAACCATGTCTTTAGAAGGAATAAGACTACCCTAAAACCAATCAAATTGCTACTAATGATGAAACTTTCAAGGATCAATCAGGTCATATATAGATAGTGATGATGATAAAAAAAATAAAGGAACAACCTTTACATTAAAAACATTAGAGATAAAGGAAAGGCATCGAGAATTGAACAAAAATAAGCTTCAAATTTCAAACATCCAAAATTGATATAGAATCTTTAAACCCTAATCAAGAAGAAGAACAACCATAAAAGATTTAACCAATAAACACATTTTTGCAGCAACCCAAACAAAACAGACAAATCCATTAAAAAGAAAGAGGAGGATACACAATAATCGAGTCAATGAATGAAACATACCCATCAAATCCTTTACCACAACAGCTATTAAAAAGTTGCATCTTTCGAACAAAATTAATCAGCTAGCTCTGTCTCCTAGATTCTTCCTCGTACGGACAAACAAGTAAAAAGGTAACGCTTTTTCTGGAGAAGGTAACAGTTTAATAGAACAAGTCTGAGTAGCTCTAATTTCGTCTCGATGTGAGATTTTGATAAACAGAGAGAGAGAGAGAGAAGTATAGCCTATTTATTATTTTTGCTCGCTTTTGATTTTTCTTCTCGCAAACAATTTTTAAATATAACAAAATGAAGCTGGTATGGAAAAAGCATAAACAATAAATAAAATTTTAAAGAATAATAAAATTGAACGTTTAGTATCCGTTATACAAAAGTGTATATTTTAATATCCGACTTCATTTTTTATAATATATTTCTATATTATTTCCGTTTTATTATAAGTGTCGTTTATTTTTATGTATATTAAGAAAATAGAAAAAATGATATTTATTTTAAAATAAAATTTAAATTTAAAACGATATTTAATATAAAACTGAAAGAGTGTGTTGTTGAAGATATTTGATGTTTTAAAATTTTGAAGTTGTTGCTGTCATTGTTAAGGGTCGGCTGATGAGTCAGGACAACTCATTGAAACCATTTATTCGATGTTTCAAATATTAAACAAAGAAACAGAAGATTCTACTATCTTCTTCAAAATATATTAAACAAAAGAACCAAGTCTTGGCTAGCTCTAGTTATAGAAATTTGAATTAAAGCTATGAACATCACTTTACGTTTAGTAAATTGCTAAATAATCAGAGTGATCAGAAACGAATGTTTGCTCTCATCTTGATATTCTATTTGAGGTGTGAATGCTTCTTCACTAACATGGGCTTAAGGACATTATTTGGTAATTAAATGCAATCATTGAAAATTTTGTAGGTGTCATTTGTCATCAAAGTGGTTGTTCAAGGAAAACATGATTGGGGAGAAATTGAAAGCCTTAATCTCAATTGGGCCAGTCAATTTCCCCAATAATCTAAATCTAAAAGCCCAAACCAATGTAAGATTTGATATAGCTCCTACACTCTTAGTAGAAAGCATAAAGTGGACTTTTGATAGTAAATTAAAATTATAAACTATAGATTTTTAAGAAAATTTGCAGCAATAAATAAAAATTGTGAAAAAGCCATGTATTTTCTTAAATGCAGTTTGTAACTATGGGTGGTTGATAATTTAACACATTTTTACACTATCCTAACAAATTAGCATAATCTATTTATAGAAAATGAGAAATACGTTACAAACTGTATTAGAGAATAAAACTCCACTTTTCTGTGGATTACTATGACAAAAATAGAAGAATATGTACACATTTATAAAATTCACTTATTTGTTACCAGATTTGATTTATATTTTCCAAAAGTAAATAATCCAAAAAAACCTTTAATTTGTTTTTGACATTTTCCAAAAGTAAAAAAAATCCAAAGAACCTTTAATTTGTTTTTGACAATAAAAGATAAAGAAAAGGAAATTTAGTTAATTTCGTACTACACAACTGGAAACCATAATATCACATCTGATTTACTGATATTTCTTCTCAAAGTTGAAAACTTCAAATCCATGACTTAAATAATTATTCATAAAAATATTAATTGACGGTTAGTTGATGTCATAAAAAAACATTTTATAAATTCTAAACAGAAACAGAAATAAACCAATTATAAGATACTCTACTTTAATGTATAGTGAAAGAAAAGAAAAATCCCGAAAGCTACGTTCAAATCAAACCTAACGAGAGAGCATTAAATTAAATTAGACAGCAGTGATGTACTAGATTCGCAACAACATTAATACGTCACTCAAAATAAAATATGAACCAAAAAAAAAAGTAATTAAAACGAGACTTACTTATTATGGTAGGGTGTGAAGTAGATTAACATAGTCCTATTTACTTAAAGCTTTTTGAGTAAATTCCTATCTACAAAATACACGCTTCTATTAAAAAAATAGACGCCCAACGACCACACAAAAAAACAATTTAATTAAATCCAAAAAAAATAAAAAAGCAATAAATCCAAAAAAAAAAAAAAGGAAACTCCGAAAACGAGACAGCATCAGAAAATAATCACCATAAATAGCCCCCACGTCTCTCTCTCTCTTCTCCAAAGTCTTCTTCTTCTTCTTCCTTCTCTCTGCTTCGTCTCTCTCCTTCTTCAAAGTCAAAATTCAACAGGTATAATTAAAAATAACTTTCCTTTTTTCTTTAATCTTTCTTCTCGGGAGCCTCTCTCTCTCGTATATTCTCGCACGTGCACATCTCGTGCCACCTGGGGAGATTCATCTTTCGAATTCGATCGATTTCGTTTTTTTTTTTTAGATCTGTTTACCTTTTTTGGGGTGTGAAGATGTTTGTTTTATAAAACCCTAATTCTCTCTTGAATGTTTTTTTTGTGTTGAAAGTTGTTTCATGAGTGGTATTGTAATCGATTTGAAGAGCAATAAGAAGAACAAGAGAGGATATGTCGTCACTCAGCAGAGAACTCGTGTTTCTGATACTTCAGTTTCTCGATGAAGAGAAATTCAAAGACACTGTTCACAGGTTTAATTAACCCCTTTTTGTTTTTTTTTCCTGGAATATATATAATTGTTTAATTGCGGTCCCTCTTTGTTTGATTGTCGGGATTAGAGTAGAATTAAATTATCCTCTGTTGTGAATCAATTGTGTTTTGTCAAGTTTTGATTTTTCTTTTGAATGTAGTAATCCAGAAGAAGCAGTTACAATTTTGGGTTTTTTTTTTATATGCATGACTAATTTGCTTGTGTGTGATTTCTCTACTAGGTTGGAGAAGGAGTCTGGTTTTTTCTTCAACATGAGGTACTTTGAAGATAGTGTAACAGCTGGTGAATGGGATGATGTAGAGAAGTACCTTTCTGGATTCACTAAAGTTGATGATAATAGATACTCCATGAAGATATTTTTCGAGATTCGGAAGCAGAAATACCTTGAAGCACTTGACAAGTAAGTTTCTTTCGTTTTCTATATTAATGACCAAAGTTTCTCACTTGTGTTGTTGAGTTATTATTGACTTGAAGTGAGAAGAGAAGTGGGATTTGAGTATTGATATATTTTGCCCATCTGTTTCTTCTTTTGTTTTCCTAGGAAAGATCATGCCAAGGCGGTTGAAATTCTTGTTAAGGAGTTGAAAGTGTTCTCGACATTCAACGAAGAGCTTTTTAAGGAGATTACCATGCTTTTAACTTTAACAAACTTCAGGTAGATTCTTTACTTTCTTAGCCCTTGTAATATGGTTTCATTGGCCACTGGATTATTAAAAACCATGCGCTTGTCATGTTGATGTTTCATTTACTTGCAATATTCAAGGGAAAATGAGCAGCTTTCCAAGTATGGAGATACTAAGTCCGCAAGAGGTATCATGCTGGGGGAACTTAAAAAACTGATTGAGGCAAATCCTCTCTTCCGAGACAAACTTCAGTTTCCCAGTTTGAAGAATTCAAGATTGAGAACCTTAATAAATCAAAGGTACAAGCTTTATTGTTTATTACTTCTCTCCCGTTTTTCTTTTTGATGGAACAACTAACTGACCATTGCTTCTGCTAAATCGTAGTTTGAACTGGCAGCATCAGCTTTGCAAGAACCCAAGGCCTAACCCAGATATAAAAACACTCTTTGTTGACCATACGTGTGGGCATCCAAATGGTGCACACACTCCTTCTCCTACAACTAATCATCTAATGGGTTCAGTCCCTAAAGTTGGAGGCTTCCCACCATTAGGTGCTCACGGCGTAAGTTGTTCTAAGATTACAGCTTCTGTTGGATTAGTTTTTAGTACATGAATTTAACTTTGCTAGTCTATATGCTCTTGGTTCAGCCATTTCAGCCAACACCAGCTCCTCTTACAACATCTCTTGCAGGATGGATGCCTAATCCATCGGTACCACACCCTACTGTTTCCGCTGGGCCTATCGGCTTAGGTGCCCCCAACAGTGCTGGTAATGTTGTCCCGACTAATTTTATTTTCTGATTTATATGTGTTGGAGATTTAGTTTACCAAGTATTAGCTATACGGTTATGTAAGGTACCATCCCTTGTTTAGATCACCATTAGTGGGATGGTTATCTGTGCTTCTTGGACTGACTGAACTGCATGAAATGATATAAATATATTTACTGAGTCACATTTTTCAGAGCTTTAGTGGTAAACTGCTCTCTCTTTTTTTAACGGACTAAAATAGCTTTTAGTGGTAAACTGTCTCTATGGTGGATAAGAGAGAGAACCATATGCTCTTATGTGCCGTTTTCGTTAATTTCACAATACCCTTGTTTATAGATAATAGATAGAGAAGCAAACTTTTTATTTAATGTCAGATAACCTTGAAGTGCTGTCTTATGTCTGAGATTTTTATTTATTGCCATTTTTTTTAGTCCATAACGTGGAGATCTGTTTGGGTGTGTACCAATTACATAGCTTATCATAATCTATATTCATCATTTCTTCCTTGCAGTGTCTATGTTAAAGCGTGAGCGTCCCAGGAGTCCTCCAACTAATAGCCTATCAATGGATTATCAGACGGCAGATTCTGAAAGTGTGTTGAAGAGACCCAGACCTTTTGGTATTTCAGATGGGGTATAAACGGCTGCTTGTTCGTTTTTCAGCTTAAGTTCTCATCTTTAATTTCTTAGAAGTCACAGTTTTCTTTGAACATTTTGCAGGTTAATAATCTTCCAGTCAATGTCTTGCCAGTCACATATCCAGGGCAAAGTCATGCTCATGCAACTTATTCTACTGATGACTTGCCCAAAAATGTTAGTAGGATTTTGAGTCAGGGTTCTGCCATTAAGAGCATGGATTTTCATCCAGTACAGCAAACTATGCTCCTTGGTTGGTTTTCTCCTCTGAAGCACACATCATTCTTCTGATTTATCCTGGTGTATGCCAGAGAAACCTGCAAAACTTGTATCAGACAGCATAATTTTCATCTTCTCAGTACAATCTGCTTACTTTATCTTGGATTTACATTTGTTTCCTAGTTGGCACCAATCTTGGTGATATCGCAATATGGGAGGTGAGTAGCAGGGAGAAGCTCGTTT